CTCAGTGTGTGTCGCGCGTAAGTGCGGTGCGTGTCAAAGAGCTATATTCAGAGCTCCCTGCTCGGCCTTCGGCTACAATCTTTCAATCGTTGCTGTTGTATGAATGCCCGTGTTCAACTACCGGTAGGTGTTACCAGCAGTCCTCACACGTCGCCGCTTCCGGAGGTCCGCCCGGTGGTGTTGTGGGAGCTGCTCGCCCACCTCAAGCTACACGCTGCCACTAAGCTAACGCTACATTAGCAAAACCAGACGCTAATTTTATTTTTGCAAAGTGCAGCACCGGCTTTCAACACTATTCTCCTTCTCCCTTCCTCTCCGACGTTCCTCCACTGGTTTCAACAAGCACTAAATTCAAGTCATTCGACCCAGATACTGAGTTTCTGACTGCCCACCACACCCACCCCCCACACAACACCACACAACACCACACCACCACAAACCCCCCCCGCTAGCTGAAGCTTGGTTGCTAAGGTTACTAGCTGGTGTTCCGATAAGGGACCGGGGGAAACAAAGTTAAGTGATTACTGGTTTCCATGTTGATTTATTTCAATATAAATTGTTGGGGGGGAACGGAAGGCTATTACCCGTACTGGCTACTTTCGCAGCCCGTAACATTTCCCCCTACAACACATTTAGACCTATCGCAACGACAGAAGTATCCTTTCAAATCCGATCATCTTTTAGACTTCTAAAATCATATCTAAGACTGTTTCTAAATTTTTTTTTGGTCATATTCAAGGACCTTTTTAAGGCTTAAATTCAGATTTATCAAAATTAAGACTTTTTAAAGACCGCCGCGAGAAACCCTGAGTTAGGTTCGCGTTCACATCAAAAAGGGGTGGTGTTTGGAAGCATCGAGCTAATCACAAACATGGACAAGCGTACTGACAGCGAGCGTCATACTTCCTGAATGAAAAGTGAACTTTTAATATTAGTCAAATATGAAGAAGTTAACACTTTAAACATCCATAGACTTAAACACTTTATCACCGGATAAAAGGCCAACATAGCTGCACACTGCAAAGGTGGATACCAGCTGGTAAGAAAGAAAAAAGTGTTTGAATGCGTAACATTAACAAGGTTTATGATATCACTGCCCCGTCTAAAGACACGATCTGACTTTAATTACATTTGACTCGAAGTGTTTCGTCAACTTAATCGTTGTTAAACGTTAAATCAATAGGCTTCTGCATACAGTATGTGAAGCACTTGTGAGTGTTGCCAACGGCCAGATACGGCTTAAGAAGCTGAACTAGTATAAGCGAAATATATGATCACAAATCGACGGTCTGGCACCACAGTGCAGCAGACTGTACGTAATGTTACTTTGATCCGGTTTACTTATGTTGTGGGCAGATATTTAAGTAAGCTTTCTTAACCGCTAATGTTATAATACGTCAGAATTGCTCTGAAGAATGGGAAGGTGATATTCTATTAATTTTCACGTTCACACAGTCGGTGATTTTTGCCGGCCGTCTTTTCCTGCAACGACAGTTATTTCTGTGTTTTCCTTTCTCCTGTAATATGACTTGATAGCTCTAGGCCCTGATACACCAGGCCGAAATCGGCCGTTTTTGTTAGTCGGACGACGAAGCGTGCTCTGTCGCCCAAACTCAATTTGGTGTGTTCCACACCGTTGGCCGTGACACGCCTTATTTGGCCTTTCATGGCCGACGCGCGGCCGATTCAACATGTTGAATCGGCCATGTTTTGGCCACAGGCAGTCGGACAAAGAAATCACTCCGATTGGCTGTTCAGCTAGCGAATCAGTGCATGAGAAGCGAAACGGTTGCTTGAGAATGTCTTCCACAAGCAACACTCCAATGGCTGATAGCTCCAGTACCGCACGAAACATGTTTTCGATGGACGAGAGTGAAAATGGAACGCACACGCTATTTGTTGTTTGTTTAGATCACGCAGTCTGTTCTTCTTCTCTGTCTTCCGGTTGTTGTCTCTTTTGAATGACGAATACACACTACCACCGCCTGCTGGTAAGGAGAGTTATTGCCACTCACACATGCGCAGTTCGTACGTGCTCGGCTGAAGTCTTTGCGGTGTGTTCCAGTGCGACACATGGCCAACACGCAGGAGAACATGGTGACGCAACAGTCGGCAATGGCGAGTTGTCTGGTGACTGCTTGGTGTGTCAGGGCCTTTAAACTCCACACACTGAGCTCTGATTGGTCAGCAGGCGGTGCTTTCACTGAGTTGATCTCTTAGCCTGCAACTTAACCTGCTCCGTGCCAGGTTAGCCGCTCAGCATAAGTTACCATGGAGATCTAGCCCGCTAAAAAGAGAACCAGCGTCGTAGGACCGGAAACCCCGAGTTTTCCCTGAAGTTAGCTCGCTAAGTGAAAATCCTGCTTCGTAGTACAGGCCTCTGATCTATCAGGCTAAGCTAACATGTAGCCTTTCTGTCCACACTCACAACAATGAGTTTTTACATAAAATGTAAATTGTGGCCTGTCATTTTATTTCCCCATTGTAGCGGAGATAGGTGAGGGAAATATATCCAGTCTCTGATAGTGATAAGATATTACGATAGTGCTCTGATAATTGCTTGATTCTCAAATCTTATTTGTATGTTTTTATTTAGCATGTCTACAGGATAGTCCGTAGTTAAATCAGTTTATTTAAATTGTATTTAAAAGTTTTTCCCCTCAGTCAAATCATACTAGATCCACACATTTAATCATTGAATTTCACAATATCTCATTTCAATCACAAACATAGACATATGTAACCGATGAAGTCACATGCCAAAGGAAAGAATAATGTTTAAGTCTAAAGAAAAACAATAAGTGTTTACTAGGACTAAGGACTAAAACTAAGAGTTGTCCCACAACCCCAACACACTATATTTGGACCACTTTTAAAATGTTGTGAGGTTTGGTTGTTTCTACTGTAAGGACTTTTTTTAATTTCTAAAATAGTTGAAAACTGTTCAAATCGAATGTGGATCAAAAAAGCAAAGTAATCTATCACTATCATAAAATAACAAATAGGAAAGTGTTACTAATACTACTTTTTTAGATTAATACTACATAATCTAAAAAACGTTATAAATATTCATAAAATATTATAAACTTTGAATATGAGAGAACTGAATCAGAGAGCTTCCCGTTTATATTTATGCTGCACTTTCTAATGACTTACAATGAGAAAAGGTGACAATAGTTTAATTGGATGTCTCTTCATGGACTCACAGTCATCATATAGTGTGAAGAGAGGCTTACCATCCACAGAATGGATCCACTGGGCTGCTCCACCTGCTGAGAGCCGCTCCACCGAGACTTCACTGTGGCCAGGCCAAAGTCACCGATCTTTACAGTCCAGCCCTCGTGGAGAAAAATATCTAGCAGAACAGCTCAGGAAACATAACAAAGTCTGGTGCTTTTTACTTGCCACAAAAACCATTAACAAGCAAGAGATTATAAGAAGGGAGAGGTGTTGAAAGGAAGCTTTCTGTAGAAAACACTGGAACAAAAGGATACTGTTTGATTTCAGATCTCGATGAATTATGTTCTTTGCGTGAAGGTAACTGAAAGGGGAGGAAATAAAATCTTTTTTACAAGACTTGACCCCACTTATTACATCCTGCACAATATTAGAGAGCCTCTTGGTTACGTCATCAGCTTATTCAGAGATTCCACTGTGTAACCAGTCTCGACTTTTACCAATACCATAAAATTGCTTCCTGTGCTATGGCCAACAATACTAAAACATTTTTTTAAATGTCTTCTAATCTACAGCTGAAACAAGTTTGACGAAATATAAACAAGTTTATAAAAAGTAAACATGGAATAATTATTCAATCCAAACTGACTATCATTCTTACAAAGTGCTTAAAATTGCGTGAAATTAAAACGTGATTTCTAGTATTTGATAATCCTATCAGCAGTGGTTGAGTGGTGATGCGGAAATAGAGTATAGAAGCAGGTCTTACTCCATGCCCTGTGCTGTTTGTCTAGCCACATCAATGCGACGCATCGTGTCAAACTTGGTTTCTGTGACGTGCAGATGGCGGTACAGGCTGCTGCCTTCACACCACTGAGTGATGATGGCGAAGTTGGGCTTAGTCATATAGCCCATGAACAGCAGGATGTTGACGTGGCGGGTCTTCCTGAAGATTACAAAAATGGCAATAGTGTCAGAAATGAAAAGATTGAGGTACAGTTATGGAACTGTTATGATTGAGTCATATACATGTTTGACTAATACTGGTTCGTTTTGAGATCGCAGTCAAAGTGGCTGCGACAGAGTTCTTTTAATGTACTATTGAATAGGTTATTATGAAGGAACAATTCTATGAATTCAGATGATATGCACCACTGACTATCCCTGTAACAATTTGTTTAAAATTGTGTGTCTGAATTTAGACATTTGGGTGTGATATTACATAGTTCATGTGAACTCAAAAGGACTAAGGAGGAATATTAATGTTTTTAACATTGTGTTTCAGATTACGCTGCAATGACAATTTGGTACTTTATAAGTCAGGACAATTAAACTGAAAATATGTAGTCAAGTTAAAGACCTTATTACTTATGAACCTGGTAAAGCAGTGTATTAGCAGACAAAATTCAGACGTCAGGGATCATAGAAAGGAACATTAATTGTAAGTATTGGTATGTAAATGTATGCATTGATAAGTAGACTTTATGAAGTGGCAGGTAGTCTGTCTCCTTTGTTGATTGTGAATTATTGTGTATGGCAATGATTATATTCTTTCTTATGTAAGTAACTCTAATTCAGAGACCATCTATTTCTGTTATCCATGCTTGTTTATGTGTCATGGAATGTTTAAATAGAGTTGTGTTTTGATTGTGAATCTTTTTTTGTACACTACCGTGAGCAGAACAAATGACAAAAGGATATGACCGTTTTTTTGTCTTGTTTAAATTGAGCATTTTGAATGATAGTCTCAATACATTTTCCAAAACACAGAAGAAGCCCAATTTTGAATAAAAGAGACTTTAAGTTAGCACTTCTTACCGTAAGACCTGCATTTCATTTTTGAAGGCCTGCAGCTGTTCCGGCGTTGGCTCAGTGACTTTCAGGATCTTGATGGCCACGTCTCCGTGCCACTTGCCCTTAAAGACTGTTCCAAACGAACCTGCACCTATTCTCTTCTGAATGTTGACTTCTCGAGAGTGGACTTCCCAGTAGTAACTGGAGTCTCTGTAGCCCCCTCGGTGCTGAAACATCACATGAGATGTAATGTCATGTAATTAAATGTAAACCCCTTTCCTCAAGATTTCTTCAATGTGAATAGGTCAACCAATGACTTGAGAATAATGTCAAAGACTACATACCACTTTCTTTTTGTCATCAGAAGAGGAAGGCTTGCGCTCCTTATGCTCTGAGGGAGACTTGGGGGGTCTACTCCCTGGGGTGAACAGAGAAGAGGGTGGGCTGGTGGAGGGCTTTGGTGAGGGCTCAGGACCTGCAGGCATGACAAGCAGGACAACCGATTACTTCAAAAAAAAGAGCAGAGATAAAACTACAACTGAATACCAATTCTGAAAGGGAGCAGGAAATCAAAACTGTTTTTGTTAGATTTGAATCACATACCCATTGTGTTGTTGAATTTTAGCGCTTCCTAAAAAAGGAGGAAAAACCCAATATTATACATTCACATTTGATAAACGATTACACAGGTAAGTAAAAAGTGTTGAGGTCGGGTTTGCCTACTTCATAAAGGACCAGCAATTTCAAGCACTGGAGCTATGCGTTAGACTTGTTGTGTTGTAGTGGAAATTATTAGGGCTGTCAGTCGATTAAAATATTTAATCGCGATTAATCGCATGATTGTCCATGCTTAATCGCACATTTTTTATCTGTTGTAAATGTACCTTAGAGGAATATTTTTCAAGTTTTTAATACTCTTATCAACATATGAGTGGACAAATATGCTTTATGCAAATGTTTATTATTGTGTGTGTGTGTGTGTGTGTGTCAACTCCAGGCATATGCTCGAACTGGAGCTGCCTGGACGCTGCAATCATGTTGCGCGCACTATCCGTGCTGACTTTTCGTACAATGTCCCACTGTCTGGCTAGCTGCATAAAGTCAAGTGCTCTGCGTAGTTGTCTGCGAAATGTCACTCCTCTGTTTTCATTTAAACAGCTCCTTATATTAGACCCTCCAGAAACGCGTTAGCGCAGCTAGCTAGCACCAGATGCTAACAAGAACAATACACGTAAGGTGTGCCCGTTCTCTCTCTCTCGCTCGCTCGCGCCACACATACACACACCCTCCCGATGGCCCTGCTGGTGAGCGTGGAAGTGTTGTCTGCCGCAAGCGGACGGCAGGTGCGGGGCTGTCAGCATCAACTTGTAGATGGTATTTTAAACTCGATGCGCTCTGAAACTACGGGGGACAAAAAATACACATGCGTTAATCGCGTTAAAATAATTAGTTGCGTTAATTTTTTTTTGCGTTAACTTGACAGCCCTAGAAATTATATAAAGAAGTTAGTCAGCAGTTGNACACGAGATATCGTTCAGCCCTATGCAGAAGTATTATTTTAAGCAACACATTAAGTTGACGAAACACTCGAATCAAATGTAATTAAAGTCAGATCCACTCGTGTCTTAGTGAGATCATAAACCTGTTCATGTATGCATTCAAACACTTTTTCTTTTACCAGCTGTATTCACCTTGCAGGTGTGCATATATGGCTTTGATCCTGGATAAATTGTTTAAGTCATGGATGTTTAAAGTTTAACTTCTTCATATTTGTCTAATATTATAGTTGACTTTTCATTCAGGAAGTATGACGCTGATCTGTCAGTGCGCTTCTCCATGTTTGTGATTGGTCAAATGTTGCTAACCCCGCCCCTTTAATGTGAACGCGCACCTAACTAGATGGGACACGGCTGGCTTAAGCGATCCATTTGATAACCCGCGTCGTAGGACCGTTTAGCGAGAGCGCGTATGTTTTGGATTAGGCCAACCGGCTAACTCAAACATATCCAGGTTAGGTTGAACCGGCTTCGTCGTACAGGCCTCTGGTCTCTTGGCCTCCTAGCAGGCTCATAATTATAAGGTTGTGGTCTGTCATATGCATACGAATACACATTTTCAACCTCTTCTGTCAAAACTAGCATTGTGATCCATGTTTATTAATTAGGGCTGTCAGTCGATTAAAATATTTAATCGCGATTAATCGCATGATTGTCCATAGTTAATCGCGATTAATCGCACATTTTTTATCTGTTCTAAATGTACCTTAGAGGAATATTTTTCAAGTTTTTAATACTCTTATCAACATATGAGTGGACAAATATGGATAAGAGTATTAAAAACTTGAAAAATATTCCTCTAAGGTACATTTAGAACAGATAAAAAATGTGCGATTAATCGCGANCCGGTGCGTCATCACACACTTGTCCCTCATCTCCTCTCCCGACTCGTGCGTCGGAACTCCCCGAGGCCACAACTCCCACCTCCTACACTACAAAGGGTGGGCGTGACGGACCCCAGACGGGCAGTCCTTCAAGTCCTAGGTTAGTGCGGGGAAAGTGTGGTTGCGCCAAGAGTCCCGGTCAAGCCTCGATCTCGGACTATTCGTGGTCAAAAAGGACAAGTGTGTGGCGTCGCCTCGGCCGAGAATCGTGGCTTTTGGCCAGAATGGTTTCGTGGTTTTTTAACAGCCCAGATCTTCGTTCTTGCGTATGCAGTCTTCCCCCGCTCAGCGCTCCAATTGGACTCGATTGTCAAATACCGCTATGCCGTTTTATTTTCAACATTGTTCGTCATCGCGCGACTGGTTCACTCATCTTGCGTTGGTGTGTGAATTTTTTATTTATTTGTGTGAATCCTTTCAGGTCCGTTGTGATTGGTCCGAAGCAAATAAACATGGAATTGTGGCAAGCCACAATAACTAGTAACACCTCTCGTCGTCTGATCCCTACAACTCTAAGTGGCTAAGAATAGCCACGTGATTTGCACGTTCTACACTCACGTGGCCAACTTTCTCACGTGTGGCTGATGTCAAACCCAACTCGAGCGTTACGTAGCTAACATCGCAGAAACTTATCAAAAAATGGCTACGTAAGTATATTTTAGGACAGTCGTGTAGTCGTCTCTGCTAGAAACTAGAAACGAAGCGTGATACCTCCGGCTCTCAGAGTCAATAGGTTGTGTGTACCTCAGCTCCTCTTTCTCTTTGCGTCGCGTGGCTTTTATGATGTTTACTTTGCAAACCGTTGTGAAATCTAAAAGTTCTTTCTCGCCAGTCGAACTCTTTAGCGAGCCGTTTTAACATTTGCTACGGTTCATGTGTTCATCATGCTCCTTGAATCGCTGCGTAGTATTTCTCCGCTATACCCCAGACGCGACTTTTCCCTTTGGACTTTCAATCTCTATCTACTCAAGTTAGTGGAGTCACTCCACAGGACAGTCGTCTACCACCAAATCAAATTGACACCTGCCGGTTATTGAGAGAATTTACAGAAGGGATGACATTCGTCAATACTTTCTCGACAAACAGCTTTCCAATAAACAAATAACCAACGTATATTTTTGGTGACGAAAGACGAGTGGACCACTCAAATCGGAGTACTTACTCACAATTCGTGTAGTCCGACCGTTCGACATACGCTATGTCCCAGCATAAACGTGCTAACAATTAGTGCTCGTTAACGTTGTAATTACTAATAAATTACACTCCAGCAATATCCGTTAAATGAAATGAGACTCATACAAGTCGTCTCAATAAATTCCATTTTGTTCTTTCAGTACTAATCAACCACGAGCAGATGACCATGAGGTGTAGGGTAATACGGCAAAGAACAATGGAAATACTTCGAGACGTATATTCCTATGTTGAGAACCAGTATTGTGAGAGCATGGTCAATTCATAGTATAAAACGTAGCCTTACATTAAGCGGCGGACATAGTTGATTACAGCTTAGTGTAGCATAGCATCACGTTAGCGTATGTCGACTTAGCAGTCGGACTACACGGATTGTAGTAAGTATCCGGATTGCAGTGGTCACTGCGTAGCTTTGCGAGTCACCATAGATATACTTGTTATTTATGTTTATTGCAAAACAACAAAGATTGTATGTCGAGAACGTTATTGACGACGTGCATTCCTTCTGTAACATTTCTCAATAACGGCATGTGTCAGTGATTTGATTTGTTATGAGAGACTGTCTTTGGAGTGACTCACTAACTTGTGTATTACAGATTGAAGTTCAAAGAGAAAAGCTCGGCGTCTGGGGGATGTAGCGAGGAAATAAACGCAGCCGATTCAAGGAGCATGATGGTACACATTGAAACGGTAGCAAATGTTAAACGGGCTCGCAAAGAGTTCGACTGGCAGAAAGAACACTTTTTAGATGGTTCACAAACGGTTGCTAAAGTAAACATCGATACAACACTGCCACGCTGACGCAAAAAGAAATCGAGGAGCGACAGGTACACACAACTTATTGACTCTGAGAGCCGGAGGTATGCACGCGTTCGGTTTCTTAGTTTCTAGCAGGACGACTCACGGCTGTCCTAAAATATACATTACGTAGCCATTTTTTTTTTGGATAAGTTTCGCGATGCTTAGCTACGTAACGCTCGAGTGGGTTGACCATCAGCCACCGTGAGAAAGTTGGCCACGGAGTGTAGACGTGCAAATCACGTGCTTATTCTAGCCACTAGAGTTGTAGGATCAGACGGAACGGAGAGGTGTCCTACTAGTATTGTGGCTTGCCACTAATTTCCCATGTTTATTTGCTTCGGACCAATCCAACGGACTGAAAGGATTTCACACAAATAAACTAAAAATTCACACACAACGCAAGATGAGTGAACAGTCGCGATGACGGAACAATGTTTGAAATTAAACGGCATGAGCGGTAGTTTGACAATCGAGTCCAATTTGAGCGGGGAAGACTGCATACGCCAAGAACGCAGATCTGGCTGTTAAAGAAACCACGAACCATTCGTGGCCAAAAGCCACGATTCTCGGCCGAGGCGAACGCCACACTTGTCCTTTTTGACCACTATAGCGCGGGAGATCGAGGCTTGGACCGGACCTTGGCGCAACACACTTTCCCCGCGCACCTAACCTAGGACTTGAAGGACTGCCCGTCTGGGGTTCGTCACGCCCACCCTTTGTAGTGTAGGGAGGTGGTGAGTTGTGGCCTCGGGAGTTCCGACGCACGAGTGGGAGGAGGAGATGATGGACAAGTGTGTGATGACGCACGGTGGTGATCGTCTCTCCTCCAGCTTTTGGACTGTAGAACCACGGTCCTATTGTTGGAGGGTAGAGTTGTCAGTCGTTTTGGTTCCTCGGACTACACAGCCTATGTCCTTCGTCCGTCTCTCTCCCCGTGCGGGGGTAGCGGTAGTTACCTGATGCACCTCTCTCAGTCGGTCGAAGTCCAAGGAGCCACAGGTGTAGTGACCTCCTGGACTGTACCTGAGTAGTGACTCCTGGACTGTACTGAGAAGTGTGGTGGTGGTAGTGAGTTTTTTCGAACGTCGACGAGAAGAAGGATTGCGTCCGACTCCCCAAAGTTGTTACCTGAGGTCCTATGACACGTTGAAGATGTCCACGTGGTATCTCTAATAGGTCCCTCCCCCCCCCCCCCCCCC